GATATGCAAGCAAGTTGTAATTGGTTTTACCTCTAATTGGTCAAGAAATTGGCCTTGAGACTTTGTAGCTAGGGTCAAAGACTAATAATGGAAAGCCAATAATAATAATTAGTTATTATTACAGAAAACTATACCATACAATTTGGCACTGAGTTACTGAAAACAGCTCATACTATTTATATTTAAATAAGCATCTTTTTCAAGCTATGAAACCTTCATGGTACGGGATTAACACAAACATGCTAACTCATTTTGCAATTTATTTCCTAATAATTGTATACCTGGCCATCCATGTAAAACCTTTGAGTTCTTGCTTTTGATTTGAGACTGATTTCACCAACAATGTTACCTGTCTGTACTACTGGAATTGTTTTTGTCATAATTTTTTTTTATTATTTATTTATTTATTTATTTTATTATTATTTTTTTTAACATAACTGTGGCATGACTTTCCCTACTCCCACTGCTAACTGTGGAAGATGACAGACTAATACAAGGGGTTTCCACCAGCAGCCTTAGGGCTGATTTATACATGCAGTTTCTTTTTGTTTACTACCAAAATTGACCATCTCTAGATGGTGATATTTGTCTCTTGTGAGGTGAATCACAATGTGTCATTTGGCTGATCCAGAAATTATCCAAAGCCATTAGTCGCCCGCAAGCGATAGGAGGTGATGGAAATTCTACAGGCGAGAGATCCAAAAAAGGGTGCCAAATGGTGTGAAGAAAAGTATTAAGTCTAAATTACATGCCTGAAATGATTTTCATGTTTTCAAATGTGGATCATTTTTGGCAAGTTTTTCCTCTAAAGAAAACATTGCTAGAGTTAAACACTTGCTAAACTTTTGCATCTGTAATGTAACACAGTAGTTGCCACTGTCACCAAGAAACAAATATCTTTTGACTGAATTTCAACTCTGGTTGACTTTATCATTTAAAAATTTGTATACATTTATTTTAATTAGTTAGTTATTCATTTATATACATTAGTTATTTACTTATTCAAATCTTTTTGTTTTGATTGTTCTGGAATGTTATTGCTGTGAGAACAATTAGGGGAAGCCTATCTTAGACAAAATCTGTTCATTTATCATATGACCCGTACGGCCCCGCGCGCAATTTCCCCTGAAAACCATAAAAAAAGGTTCCCGAATGAGGGCCATACGCGTCGAAGTGATAGGGCCGGAAAAACCCGTACGGCCCTACTAGAAATGCGTACGGCCCTACTAGAAACGCGAACAGCAAAATCGATGGAAGTTAATGACAAAAACAATTTTTTTTGCTGCAAAAGTTTGTTCTCTTCAAGATGAGTGATGAAAGTTAAC